ATACTGGTGATTATTAAGTAATTATAATTCAGTAAATGCTGTTCTTGGCCAGATAGAATTCAATGATTTAGCTTTACTTCATCTTGCCGTTCTATCGTTATCCACGCGCACTATATGTTCTTGCTCCAGTTGTTGCTATTAATTAAGACCTGGTGTTCAACATTTTATCCTTCATTTATTTTATTAATTTTAATTTTAATAAATTATCTACTATTGTATTTTTGGCTTGCTAATATCGCATGCAATGATATTGCGCTTTGAGTGTTGTAATACTGTTGTATGCGTATTCTGCTTGACAGTAGAGCACATAGTATTCTTGATATTTATTTCTGAATTAATAACGAGTTGTACAGATTATTCAGTCTATTTTAGAGGCCTGATTACCAGTATAAATCCATTGCAATCAGGGTGCAATAGTATTCAAATTCGCTGTGCATACTCGTCTATATGTTGCACACTTGGTTTCGAATTTGGCCGGCCGGCATCGAGAATAGCAATTACAATAATTTCCATGATAGACTTTAAATGGTATCACGACAGCATAGTACCGTACACTTGTCATGCAGAGTCGTTGAAGAGAACTGGAGTAAAAGCATGGTAAAAAGTATGCAATAGCATTTTTATTTATGATTATATATCGTAGCATAGCGCTGTAACCAGTCTATGACACGGATCGTATTGACCGACGTTTCGCTTACTAAGTCGCATCATTAAAAAGTTAGCTTTGAGATCTTACTTATACCACATAGCGTAAATCTAGGGATTGAATTTTTCATTTTTAGTCAACAACATCCAGCACCATGCACAATTTGCACTCTTTCAAGAGAGTATACAGTACTGAGGTTGGCTGTGCCGTTTCAATTAGCCAAAAGAAATGAAATATTATGATTACTGATTCTTTACTAAGGTCTATACCCAACAGCGTGTAGCACTGATGTCGAAATTACGAATGAAAAGATTTTCATCTCCGACCTTTTGTGATGTTTGGTCAAAAAGTGAACAGCTGCTACAATGGTTTCGTTTTTTTGATGACACTGTTCAGTAGACATTGCAGTCCTGTACAGCGCCATACTATGTGTTGTACTGATGCAATGTTGTATTTTACCGTGACTTCACGTTCTATGCTATTGTAGTCAAAAGAGGGAGAGAAAAAAAGGGAAATGTTTATCGTTGTTAACGATTGGCAAAGTGCTCATAAAAGACAAGTATAAAAATTCCTGTCTGCAAAAACGCCAACTTCAGTACGCCATAATGGCCAAGAAAAAAGTTTTTTTTTTTTTTCCCCTTTCTTAGACTACAGTACAGTGTACTGTAGATACAGGGTTAAAAGTCAATACGGTCGTTATTGCGACTTTTTATTACCGATATAGTGTTAGCAATTGTAATCGAAAAGAGACTACTGTATGCATTACATGGTACTGTATGGTAATTAGGACTTAGAAGATTGCTGTCGCATTGTACAGTGTACAGCATACAGACAATATGTATTGTGTTACGGTATGTACTGTACTGTATGACTTTCTTTTTTCTTTCTTTTTGATGGCTACTTCACTGTATAGTATATATTGTTTTACTCCATTAAATAAGAAGTACACTACATATTAATGGCAATGTCATTAATCAACGGTATCGAATCTTACAACTCCGACGAGCTTAAAAGTTGTTAGCATAATTTTACCACTATACTGTAAACTATAGAGTATTTCGATTACTTTCGCCGAAAGGCATACACGGATCAATTTGGTGAACAACAATAAATACGTACTACGGTCGTGACCAGATTTCTATCCTCTATCACAAAAGATTCATAATACAGGCATGCAGTACAGTATCCCATCATGGTTAAAATAAAAATATTTTTTATTGGTACTATAACTACAATGTTATGGTATAGCAATGTAGGTATTCATGCGATCTTATTGAGAAACTGGCGTTCTTAGATCGGTACATTCCCGATAGGAGTAGATATCATCAACGTTACGTGAACAAGGTGTAAACTATTGCAAACTGTAGTTACGATAGAGGATGAAGCACTGTGCTCAACATTGCCCAGTAAATTCGCTCAAAACAAACATTGAACTTAAGAGAAGATATGATAACAAATAGCATTCAAAATAGCAATACAATATGTAGTTTTAATAGTTAAAAGGGTTAAAGTCGTGACTTCCTTGTACGTTACAACTTGGTGGAGTTAGTGACGACTTTTAGAGGCTAAAACGTTCTAGTTACACTGTACTGTATGTATATCGTTTAAAGCAGTAGCATTATCAACCAAGATAATTGGATGATGATACTGTTTAAAAATAAATAAATACCTTCTCATGACTGTCTAGCATAGTATAGTACTGTATGAGTATACGTTATAGTTCAGTATATATTTACTAAATGAATCTTGTCAATTCTACTCGAACTCATCAATAGCTTTGTTCAAGCTTATAGAGCTGTGTCGTAGTGTATATTTGGATGATTCCAGAGCAGCGCACCTGCACGATACTTGATATGAAACGTTACGTTTATAGTCGAGCACTGCATGTTCACAACAAGAAAATCAAGATACAAGATAATAAAATATGTTTAATGGAGATTGCATTACTGCATTACTTTTTACTGAATAGTCATTGCGAATACTGAACTGACAGCAGTTTATTTAATAATAGTTTAAAGAGGTCATGAAAATTCACATCGACATTAGCTATTACCAGAAAAATTCTTATTCTCTCAATGTATTACACTCGAACTGCATAGGTACCACCAATATATATCGCTTGACGATTGATAAGTTGTCAATTTCTCTTGTTGATAATGATCGAAGTTTGGTCGAACGTGTAATCCTCCATTTTCTGTTATCTCATGCATAACAGAGAATTTCTATTGTCTGGATGGCAGTGCAATGGCTATCTCTGTCTTTCAACATTATTTCTCAAGCATTTGCACACATTGATATAAATCAATCATTACACGAAATCAAGATGCTGAAGGAAGTAGAGGAATAGAAACACATCTTTCGACCAATTTTACATTATAATAAATGTACGTATGTCAAATGTATATTAAAAGAAGTTTTGCAATAAATAAATTAGAAGGAATGTACATTAAATTAATACCAATACAGTCTGCTAGTAATACTATATACGTCATTAGTATATAAATATTATATACTATACTCACGTAGTCTAAGTTTACAGGTTGATGACGATGGGTAATAAAAACAAGTTCATGAAAAGAAAGAATAATATTTGAAGACAGTACTACAACAAAAATTGATAGGAATATTTTTCAGAGAAATGACATATCACAAGACAACAAGCCCTTTTTGGAAAGGAAACAATCCCGCAAGCTGTTGTACAAATAACACTTAGTTTGTGTAATACGGAGAGCGTCAATTAGGTACTTAGACACGAAATCAAGCAAGAGTTGATTTCCAGTATACATGTACAACAAATGATACTTTTCATCTCCTTACAGTAATGCAGTAACAAATAGGAGCAAATATATTATCAATCAGATCGTTCGTTCGGCAGAATAGGAGAGAGTGGAAAGACAAACTGAATAAGTATTCTTCTAGCTCATATTTTCCAAATCCGATCAAATAGAACTAAGTTCGGGGAAATAGTTAACAAGTATGAAATAATTATAATTATTTTAAAAAGTACCTTCCAGTGGCAATTGTTTTTTATAAAAAGTACAGTGGGAAAAGAAACAACTTACAGTCGAAAGAAAGATAAAGACCACTTCAGTGATCTTAGGCTCTCACCTACAACAGAAATCGACTACAGTACTATAGCTGTACTATGGACGATAAAATATTCTTACAGTTAAAATCACAACAAAGCACCATGATGGATGTACGTGTATAATGTCCATACACCAAAGTACTGTACAATACATAAAAAATTCGCGGAGAAAATGTCTCCTCGGTGACCCGAACTCCTGAATATTCTAGAGACTACGGGTGGGTAAATGGAAGATAACCATTATACGGTAATACTACAAAAATGCTTGCGAATTCATTACAAGCGAGAGAGAAAGGAATGGGAAAAGAAGATCAAATCACTACCAGAGTATACGTTGAGCGTAGTTGATTTCAAAACATTGGTACAAGTTTAATTTAATCAACGGTAATGGTTGGTGTATTAACACACACGCTAAATCATTCTATCGTACAGTAGTTAGTTAACGGGGGTCATTGACGTGCATTGCAAGTGAAAAAAGAAGAGCAATGGCATCGTAACAATATTCGTTTTCATAAGTATTTCGATTGTGACCAGAAGAGTATAACTATAACAAAAATTGGAAATACCGCAAAGTCATACAACTGACAAATTCTTCCTTTCACCTCCTCTCCCTTGTCGTGATCGTATTATCTAAATATGAGTCAAACCAGAGCTTTGAGGTACGTTACTACCAACACCATTGACGGACATGTGTTCCTGCATGTGATATTTTTGTTGAGCAGCCATAGCAGCGTTAGGATCATTGCCAGCGTCACCTTGAGAAGGCAAGTACATATTCATCATATCTCCAAGATCATTGGGTTGAGGAACTCGACCGCCACCTTGCATCCTTTGTGCATCACTTGGTACTTTCATGTTAGTAGGAACCATCATTGGGCCGTGTTGCTGCGAATAAGCAGCCGAATTCATGGATGGAGCATAAGAATAACTAACTTGAGGATTGTAATACTGAGGATTGGCTTGTATCTCACGGTATGGTGGATAACCGCTAGAAACTACCGATGTTCGAATATTACCAGCCGATTGCGACGTCATCCCGGTGGAGACGGTTGGTGAAATTGTTGGATGATGTCCGGACATGGAATGGCTCATATGATCTCCTGGACCCATAACATTGGAATAACCTGCGGGTGCTCCTACAGAACCTTGAGGAACATAACCATTATACTGAGCGTACTGATCAGGTTGCATTTGTGCTACTGCCCGTTGCACCGGTGGAGGACGTCTTTCGCCACCTCCAACGGGCATATTATACTTATCTTGCTTCTTCAGTAACGCTTTGTTCTTACGTCTAGGTCTATATTTGTAATCAGGATGTTCCTTCATGTGTAATGCTCTTAAACGCTTGGCTTCGTCGATGAAGGGTCGTTTATCCGCATCTGACAATAGCTTCCAATCGGCACCTAATCTCTTGCTAATTTCTGAATTATGCATTTTGGGATTTTCTTGCGCCATTTTTCTACGTTGACCCCTTGACCAGACCATAAAGGCATTCATAGGTCTTTTAACGCGCTCAGCATTGGCTTTAGCGCTGTTATTAGCGCCATTATTGGAATTGCTTGCACCGCCACTAGACATAATTCTATTTTTCTTCTAGTTTTGCAACGAATTTTTCGTTTGTACTTTATTACTTAAAAATTTGTTGTCGTATAAATTACAGGTGATAAATTCTTTGTAAGTTAGATGTCCTATACACAGGATTGATTTCTCCTTTCTTCTTGAGTGTACGCTTTTTTTTTTTAATCGATCCTCTATGATAAGTTAAGTAAAATGAAACGATTACGCTTTCTAATTTCCTCCTGCCGGTATAAATTAACCGCCACCATCAATATCAATAGGTAACGAAAGAAAGAGTTAAAAAGGAAATGTTTCAATAAGCCAGTACTGTATAGTACCGTACAATTCAAAAGGGGTAACAAAAAATTGTAAAACTCCGTCGTTTCGATATTGTCAACAAGTAATTTATCCAATCCTTTACAATCTTGACTATCATTACAATTTTACCGCCTAACGTTGTTGAATGTCAATTTATTTGCATCAAAGTAGTCTTTTACTTACCTTACGGTAATTCTCTTCTTCTGTCCTTGCTGTTAATATAGTTGGAGCGAGGGTGTGCGGTAGTGAAAGAATAACAACCACTACCGAGAATGGCCAAAAAAAAAAAAACTGGACAAAAAAAGGAAAATGTATCAGCTCCAGCAACACGCGGTACCAATAGTGTTTACCAGTGGTGGTGGTGATGTATGTTGTATTGAGGTGTACCGTAAGCTTCTTAAACTACTTGACCAAGTCGTTGGCCAGTCGGCAATTGTACAGTACAACACTACAGTACTGTACAGTACAGAAGAAAATAGAATACGGCAAATCGCGCTTTGCTGCCTTGAGTTATTTGGATTTAACGGTCTTACGCCTGAAGACGTCGTGTGAATTCCCCCTTCGGTAAGGTAATTTTCTTAGTACTGATGGATGATTATGCGACACGTTGATTGGCCATCAGCAAGCACGCCAGCCAATCAACGTTAACGGTAACTAATGTTGCGTATTTCTGATACTCGTACTGCTCATGTCACTACCGTAATTATGACAGTCGAGACAAGTGTTTATTGTCGAGGAGGCGGGTAATGCACTTGTCAGCTTGGCAAATCAACCGCCGCCAACGCCAGTCAGCTGTCGGTATTCTGATCCCAGAGGAAATTGAATCTCATTGACAAGATGATTAATTTTGCCTGCAGGTGCAATCTTGTTTACATGCAGGCGGGGGGTTGATTGACACATCTTCACATTAACTATTAATGACCCTACAACAATAGCAGTAAAGAGTACCCCTTTGCCCAATCAATCACCCCCAGAGTGAAATGCTTTTTTCTTTTCTCTTGCTTGTATTGTCTGCATTTTTCTCCTTTACAACTTCAACTGCATCTACGACAGCTTATTCATCCATTTTACAACGGCATATCCAAATTACGTACGTTGTACATTCATTCTCCAAACTATCTTATTGATCATTTTGAAAAGTAGAACGTAGTTTGTATGATTTGGAGGACCTACAACTACAGATCCAAATTGGGTGCAGGAATCAATGGCTGATCACAATATCGCAGTACAGTACGTACGTACACTACTTACTGTAAGGCTCACCCGCTACATCACTAGTGTACAGTACTGTACTGTTCCTACCACAGTACGGTACTGTATTGTACTCTACGTGATTCACTTCTACAGTACAGTACTGTACAGTGCTGTGGTCATTCACTGTAACATGATAATATTTTACAGTGTATTGTACTGTACATTCGTACAGTGAGTTCAGAAATGAAGTCAAATTCTTTACTGCTGTACAGTACAGTGTAAAGTATGTGATTCAGCAGATATGTTGTTATACAGTACAACTGTACTGTATACTGTACACTACTACCAGAACATACAGTACAATAGTATGCCAGTACCGCGTGCCACTGTGCACAATTACTGAACACCGCACACTACACAACTTCAAAAGTGTACATTAGGCGAGATATGAGCGGGCTAGCTTCACCAAGGAGGACTTTTGAAACACATTGAGTACAATACTGTACTGTAATGATCCAACCAAAATGTTCAAGAAATTAAAATGAAATTATTAAAACGCATAAGGAAATCTTCATAAGTACATTCAATCTATGATTTAGGACTTAAAAACGAAATGTTCAACCACCTAGAATAAATAGCTTACAGTAATGTACACAATGTACAGTTCCATTTTTAGCATGGGTACAATTAGCTACAATCATACATTGTTGAATTTCCAATTCTACAAGCTACTGTACTACAGTACTGTATATATACTGCAATATACTGTACTGTATGAGTACATTAATCATGTTATATCGTAATACTGTACACTGCAGTTAATAATATTCAACGTCAATTAATTTCAATACTATAAAGTGTAAATGTACTGCCAATTCGTTGATCTGCTAAATCATATCACGAACAGCACTAGTGCCAAGACGATGTATTGAAAATAATAATTTAATATAGTATCTAAAATAATTCAGATACGCGCATGTGAAGTTATCAGGAATTACCAAGTTAATATGATTTGTACATTAAACGTTTATACGTGATAATTAGAATCGTAAATAACTTTTAAAAAATACAACAAAAAAGGAACAATGCCATAATAAAAATAATAATCGTCTGATCGATGCGTCTGCTAAAGCATTACTGCACTGCTACTACTGTACAAGTGTGCCTTAGAGCCCTGTCCCTAACCATAACTGTCTATACTGTAGAAATATACTAGTATACTGTACTATACTGTACCGTACAATATAGGTCTAGCGCACAAAAGTTCTGTACGGAATGGAAATGGAATTAACTTTCGCAATCTGCACTTCTTGTAATGTACAATGAAGCCCGTCTTTGTTACAGTTCATCGAGGAGTGCATCTTCATGATTAGCGGTGCCATGCAAATGCAAATTTACTATATGCACTGCTGTATTCTGTGTTCATATGTGCAGGAAACAGTTACCGCACTGGATTGATTGCTACAGTCAGGCTTTCTACTTTCTGCCATGTACTGTACGCTGTACATATTGTAATCTTCGAAAATCGTAAAATAAATAAATGAACAGCCGCGAATTAGCCTGTAGTGAATTTGTTTCAAATTCGCACATCAGATTCTACATCACTACAACATCATTTTTATCTAAAAGTTTAAAAACTGTTTTCCTAAACTTAAAAATAACTATCAAATAAAAGGCTAAATGCTACATGAAGTAAGGTGCACTACCAACAATATATAATATCCTTAAAATAGATTCTACATTCTAATGGCATGCAAATCTGTTATCGTCCAGAACTCTGTAAGTACCATTTGAATCTTGAAGCATTATTCGTTGACAAGCAACATTATTTACTGAATATATATTGTGGCTTTACAGCACTGTACATAACAGTACCACTAGATGATACCTAAAAATCCTTTCTTATTTTAAAAAATTGCAAAAATAATAAAATAAAATGATCACAATGACCAATTAATAAAAACAATTCATCACTAAAATGATTCATAGATTTCTGTTAGAATAGTCATTTATGAGGCTCATTTATAAAATGCTTATATAAAAATAACAACAGTCTTTTTCCATCCAAAGTTACCAATCCATTCAAATCCAGCACCTGTAAAACAGATGATAAGGAATAGAATGGAGTTCAATAAATGCAGTAAATTAAATTAACCCATATTTCTTTGCTTATTTCAGGATAAAATTGTTACTCAATTTTCTTCACTAAAATATAAGGGTGAAAATGACAGAAATGTTATAATAATAATTGTTTTAACTCTCTACGCGTTGTTGATTGATCGCCTTTTCGTATTCCTTATTATAGTATCGCTTCAAATTACTTATAAGCTACATATCAAATTTACGAGCTCGTCACCTTGTAACCTACATTACACCAACCAAAGCTAACTGATCATTGTAATGTTGTTTGTAAAACTACTTGACGGGAGATCATGACTAAACTCAGGCATTGCTGTCGATTAAAACCTTGCTTATGCTACAACATCTTAACTAGCAGATATCAAAGAGCATGAACACATAAGTCGATTAAAAAAGAAAATATCATCATAGTAACCATTGCTAGATCACAAATCCCTAATAATATGATTTGCCATACAGTTTACCACATACTTATGTCAGAAATTTAATTAAATCAATCAGATAGCGCAAACTGACTCCAATCGTGGCATGACAATGGTCAGTCATTATATTACTTTATCAGTTTTTAGGAGCCCCACAATAATGATAGTTCCCAAACCTATTCGTTATCATTCATTCAGTACTCCAAGTCATACAATATGTCCATAAATCGATAAATTAAGCTTTGGAGACACTACCAGTGTATGCAGCTATGACATCTAACTCCAGGCCTTAACGTTAATATTTACAGCATCATAGACAATCAAATGAAGTACATCTAGTAGCCCATGACAGTATCACATAAAATTTGCACACTAGACTGCTATAAATATTTCTATTTCTAATAGGGCTGGCATAAAAGTAAATTATGGTCGTTAAGAAAGCATGAAGAATTGAGCTCGCAATTTAGAGAAATAGCATATTTTAATCAACCATTTTCCAGATACGTAAGTCGTACATATCGCCGCGCGTTGCGGTAGTGTAGCAGACAATAACACTAAGTAACTTGCCTCAAAACGATACAGATCTGTGCATTACTAAATTACTGCAGAGTACTGTACATTTTCATCTTCATTCTACAGTACCGTACAGCATATCGCGGAACCTTATAGAATTGAGAACAAGAATGATGAAGACTGTCATAAAATAGGCATCCATACGTCCACAGTCCATACGACGCTAAAGCAAAACTTCAAATATCGTACAGTAAAAAGTTTTTAGTTAGCACTGTACTACACTGGTACAGTAGCACTGCAATAGCACCGCTATTTCTCTTTGTTCCTCTACATCCGGTGTGAATTAATTCACTGAGCAACGATGAACTGTGATGCAAATAACAATAAAGGAAAAAGTTTTTCAAATTCATTAATTAAAAAAAGGCGGGGCAGGCCTTTCCTACGACTGCCGCTTTGTCTATAGTCTCCTCCCACTGGGCTCGGCTTCCTAAATCTCCATGGCAATTCTAGGACAATGGCTGCCGAAAACAGCGAATGGTGTCATCATGTCAGGTCGTTGGATTTTAGACTTACAGCAAATGCGTTTTTTACATTAGCACTCTCCATCAATGACCAAACTACTTGTCCATGTATGCATATCGTTGAATTCACACCAAAACTGCACTATAAAGTTACCCAGTACTGTATTGCAGCCTTAATTTTAATTTTAAATTCGGATAATTTCAGTTTCATATTTGAAACGGTCAGGAGACTACCAGGCTAATAAACAGTACAGTAGTACAGTAGGGTCCCTGCAGTTCTCACCGTTGCGGTAAATACTAAACGCTAAATGCTAAGGTTAAAATTAAATGACGTTATATTTCCATTATAAAGATGATTGCCCGAGTAAAGAATGCAGTCTACGTGCTTACTATACATTTACCTTGCAAGATATCCTTTATGACTAGTACCGTACACTATACACCATACTGTACAAGTACTGTACAGTAGAGTTTACCCGCTATTATTAAAATCATACAGTAATGATATTACAATGAAATTGACCAGACTCTTTCATCGATGGACTCTTTTAGCAGTTCACAATAGGTAAACAAGAACAAAAGCGCGCATATACTGTACAAAAAAAACATCAAAATAAAATGTTATGGTAGGTTATATTGCATCATCCGGACTCGAGATCGCGAGCATTCAAAACGTATCAATCAGCTCCCATGAATACTAGTACAGCATTGTATCTTGTAAAGCAGTAATGATTCATTAAATATTCGCCATTCATATAGAATATACATATACGCTAGTAATATTATTTTTTCCCCAAAGTTATGAATTACTACTGCATAAAAACTGCAGAAGTTCGAACTAGCCAAATCACTATTACTGTACTGTATGTGCAATAGAGATGAAATAACCCAAATAATATTATAATAAATACAGTACTGCGTTGTACTGTAGTACGAGGAGCGTCAGGTGTGCATTTTACACTGTGCAACTGCTGTATCAGTATCAGCTGTGGATTTAGCCTCTGCTCGTCAGCTCACATCGCTTGCTACTGCTATCATGAGTCGAAGCCAAGTCAGTGTTTTACTACAATACAACGTCGTTGACCACTGTACCGATGGAATGAAAAGTATCGGTTTTTTTAATAATTTTTGCTGTTACAATTGTCAAAGAGTTGTAAGTAATACTAAATACCCAATTCCGTGACTCTGGTATAGAGTATAGCATAAAGTACACTATACAGTATATGTATACGTACAATTATACAGAGTATTTACTAATTACTTTACTCTACTGAGTACTGTACAGTATACCAGCCGAACTTAGTGTACTGTATGTATATGCTATTCAGAAAACACTGCAACAGTACCGTATTATCATTAATAATTATTATTACATTATTTAATCATGAATCATGGATTCATGATGTATCGCCAGCAGTCCGCCGACTTGAGTGCAGTATGATGTCTGCTAGCTTTTTACCTTGAAAGAAAACAATCAGTAGCATAATTGCTGTACTATTATATTATATCCTGGTTTTGCAGCATACTGTCCATACAGTGCAGTACTATAGTAATTGAACTACATACCTTAGTGTACTGTAATGTTTAGCTCACAGACTTACACGTACAGTACTGTTCAAAATATTCTGGCATACGAGTAAGAGGTCTCTGCTGTCCTGTACAGGGAATACATTATAATATTATAGTATACAGTAGTAGATGTACTAATATTGCAGATCGGTACCGTAAGCTTGCTAAAAACGCACTAACGCCCTTTAATTAAAGGGAAATCATTGTACTGCATGCAATAGAGCAATTACACTACTGTATCCGCAGTTTTTGCATCATCGCCAATAGATTATGAAGCTAGTAATATTTCGGATTGTTAATGAATAAAACGGTCAATCGATATACGCATAAAATCACAAGTCTGGTACAACTATGGCATTAATACGAGAGAATCAAATGAAAGTATCATTCCCAAGTATACAGTGCGAACGTAATTACAGTCACAGTAAAATCGAACAGAAGCAACGAAAATTGCTCGCGCTAATTGTGATGAGTAAAAACTTCCCCTACTGGTAAATTAATACGACCTATACAGTTTAACTTTGCGTGACGTGATACGAATTTAAAGGATAGAGAATTTAATAGTAATTTAATGGATCCACTTTACGTAAAATTGATAACGAAAAACACATAACCAAATGATATTACTGCATACCCAAGTAGCACAGCACGAAGATTGATAAATTTATCAATTGTTTGTGAAATTAGAACTCTGTCAGTAATAATTTGCAACTTTTAAACTACTAGAATACATCATTAAAAATCCATATACTGTAATTTGTGGCGTAAAAACAGTTGAAATGAGGCAGTCACAAATTAGCAGTTCTGTTGTGGATACATACGCACATATTGTGTGTAGCTAATACTCATACGTCTAAAGCAAAAAAAATTAACTTGATGAGACTTTGAAAAACGTCAAAGACAACATTTTAAATCACTTACGCCGTACCTCATAACTCTTGTTTAGATATAAAATCCGTATACATTATATGCATTAAGTACCTTAAACCTGCAATGTTCCTCTTTTTACACCATTTAACTTCCTCCAATACTGTAATCGAAATCTCAACCAACTAAGCCTAGCACAAAACTTATAACGCTATCAAAATACTGTCCATCTTAAGTCGATATGTTAAGAAACAAAAATCCGATTCGTGGTAAGTACAAGCCATCAATTTTTTCACTATCCGAAGAATAAACACAACATCGTCACATCGTCATCACAGCCATGAACAACTAGACTGATGTAGAACGATAGTTCAAAATTGAATATATTTAATGGGCGCTTTATGCAGGTTTTCTTTTACGTCGAGAGCCTTGCATTGACATGATTATCGTACGATTATACTGTTATTGTTGTGTGACAAAATGCATGAGAAGCATATACATTTCTTTTATGCTAGAAATAAAAGTCTATTATCGGAATTCAATATAATTCCCTATATTTATAAAACAAATTCTGCCTACTTGAAAATACTTTACCTATCCCCAAGAAATGTCTTTTTATTACTTTAATAACCTAAACAAAATTGTCTGTCCTATTTCCTTTGTCGTATTTCATTCTTGCTTACATTCAAACAGTAGCAACACATTTCCTTTCCTTCCTCTCCATTATTTCTTTAAAATAAGGTATTGTAACTATTTTTGTGTGCAAATATAATGTATCACAATAGCATTTTGCACAGGCAATCTCGGTGGACTTGACATTTTTAATGCAAGTATTAACAATAGAGTAAAAGGACTTTTTTTTTTTCAATGTCTCTAGATAGCCATAATTTACCCCAAGCTGATAGACAGTAGCTTAGATAATTTAACGGTTTACATAGTAATCAAAATTGCTTTAAGACAACCCGTAATGAAAATCATAGCTATCATTAGTACACTAAGCAAACGAAATATCTCAGACAGTTCGAAAGATTCATTCATTAAAATTACAGTATTTTTGTAGCTCAATTGTTTCTCGTAACAGTATTTTTAATAGCTTGGATTTTGCATGTTTTCATGTAAACAAAGCGTATATTGGAAGGGCCAGGGTATAAAAGATTAAAGATAATAAAGTTCATTACCACTATTCATTATTAATAATCGCTCAATTTTTGTATGTTATTATCGCTGCTCTATTACTCCCTGGCAGATTGCAAAGGCTACTATTCAATGCTATTACTTAAAAAACAATTTTCATAATTAATAAAACTATCCTATAAAAAGCGATAGACAGTAATAATTCATAGGAGGTTGTTCATTAAAAAAGTGATAAATAATTATTAGTATTCAAATACATTGAAGGTTAGTACTATAATGACTTTCATAAAACGATTGAAAATACTAATTTGTTCGCATGGATTTTTTAGAAATGGCTATATTTACAGTTAGTTACAACCCTGACAAACTAACATCAGCTTCCTTCTAATATGTAGCATAATTTTTCGTCGATGATAATATGCCACCTATTTGCTACTTTCACTAAGTCATGTAAGAGTGAACTATTACACTTAAGTGTTAACCAAGATCATTAAATTTGTATTCGAATTACTAAGATATCAGCCGTACCCTATAGAAATGTTATGAAAAATGATATAAATGTATGCTATCAATACTGATATAAGGCACAGTATGCCTATGACGTGATAAAAATCCTGTAAACTCGTATAGACTTCTATAAAAGTCTATAATGATAATCAACATCCCATCTTATTTACTACCCCGTTTTCAATTAATTATAAGACGTAGCGATCTCAGGCGTCTGCATCACACACAGTCAGCTCACGGAGTGATATACATTAGTTATTGTATAATTATTGGTGTTATCTCATATCGATTGCAAAAGATAATTACAAATTATAAATAATTTTTGGCGATCTCGAATGTCATTCATAGCTAAATGAGAGCCTCATGAAAACTCATTTCTTATACATGACTACAATGAAACAAATATATGGATAATTAAAATAACAGAATTAAAATATACGCATACGAATAACAAACAGTATTTATCTGACCCCATGCAAATAATATTGACTGCAAATGTATGACGTTATAAAGTTAAAAAATGCAAGGTAGAAGGTAATGCAACCTACCGAATTTCTTATATAAAGCAGTTCCAGTAATTCTTCTAGAGTAACGCTAATCTGAATGAGATTTTTAGATTGGGCTAGATTGTAACAGAAAATTGCTCTCATAAATCTACTGAAATCATACATTAAAGCGTCTTTAAATGCTAATAAACTGAAATGTACTTTAATATTTTTCCAAATAAGACACTTGGTCAACACACAACTAGCTGATGATAAATACAAATTTACAATATAAATTAGAATATTGTTATTACCTTCGTCTAATAAAGTAATTATAAAATGGCCAGGACTTGGCGAAGAAAATAGATACCAGAGGTCAGAGCCATTATTTTTTCTGTTAAAATGTAACAGTTCATATGAAAATAAGCTAACAACGTAAATTACTTAAAATCACGTCCAATGTAGAAAATACGTACATATCTTCATGTGCAATGTCGACAATAATTCTGTATTTTAACAATTGCAAATGCGAACAGCGATAAGGACTGATATAATTTTCATTTTGATAATTTTCATCTTTTCCATACGGATTAAACTAAATATTTACCGAGGAATATTACAGTTAGCATATAACTCAATACGAAAATCGTCATTGTAAGAACCATTCAGAAACCTTGCTCACAACAGCTTTTCTTGTATTTTGTAAATACTCTATAATAATAAATATATAATAACATAGATCTATATTATCACATCTATGCAAATTGTTCTCTGTGATCAATAGAAAAATTTTTATATTTCAACAATGATTAATAATTGTTTATAAATATACCTTTGTAACTATTGAGCTGTTCCTTCAGAAAGCTTCCGTGCTCACATAACGACTACATATGGAATTAAATCAATAATTACTCTATTAATACACTAAATGTTATTTTAATATTATAAAGGTCTAGACGACATAATAGAATCAATTGTAATCGAACATCTAAGCAATTAAGGCTAGAGTCAAACCTGATAAACATCTCTCAAAATTGTTACTTCAAAATCTACGCATTGTTCTTGCAATAGCATTACCTTTAATTCCTAGTACGACCAGAAAATAATTACAGCGTTTAAATAAGCCTTCTTGATTAAGTCGAGATACAGACGGTACAGATCAACAAATAGCAGGTATTTAATCTAGCAAATGAATTATACCTCCTTAATTTGATGAAAATACTGGTTAGAATATAACGGATGTTCAATATGTTCTTGGCGTGATCTATGAATGTCTTCAAGCAAAGGGCTTGCTAATTGAGCCATATCCGGAATTTTGCTATTTATAACTGTATAGATAGCATCTTCTAAAGTAGATTTGTTAAAACTTTCAGGAACCTTGACACAAGACGTATAAATAATACCATAGTTAACATGTTAATTACACATTTAGTTGTTGCATTATAGGCGTATAGTTAATCGATTAATTACGGTAATTACGTTAAACAACTTGAGCATGAATTACGTAGCACAATGAAGCTTTTAATTGCTTCAATGAAAGTTAGGAATCGTGCATGCGTTGTAGCGCACCTCTGTAAAAAATTTCAATAGGACATCCTTTAACTTCTCTTTTGCAATCCCAAAATTTTTAATATCATTTTCTGAATACATTTTCGTAATTCTCTTTATATCTGTTATGAATTGAGATTATATCAACAGCTATTTAGTTACGGCTAGCAATTTATATCATAGCATTATAAAACTGCCGTTTATTGTTGGCATACCCGAATACGCAATACCTGTAAAAGGTTCCCAACGGCTACTTAATTTTATGGAAATAATTTCGTCATTAGTCGGATCTAATTTTGAGGCCGACCCGAGATCAGTCAATATACAATCTAACCGATCATTTGCTCCATCCATCTGAAGTAAATTAAATAATTTTCATACAACTAAACATGTTGTGGTAATGATATGTGTTGTAGATAATTTAAAATCAATATAATATAATTATTTAGATTTAAATAATTAACATGCATGAGGCAATTACCAGATTTGATCGATAAGATATCAGTAAGTTATGTAAGTCGTACAATTCGCTCAGTCTTATATTTACAATAATATCTTGAGAAAGAGATAGATATTGTTCCATCTAATTTGAAGATCAGAATCAATAACTTGAGAAGACGTAAATACATTAAATTGAAAGGTGCTTATATCTATTATCGAAGCGTACTTCAATGTTGTCATGAAAATTTCGAACGTCGCATAACTGATCCAGGAATACCTATCAAATTTAGATTTTACCTTAAAACCACTTCCAAAAGGAAGTTAATAATGAATCGAAAGATGTAAGGTAAAAATATACCGTACCTTTAGAGGATCATGGTGCTGATCAATAAAAGATTGTAAGGGATACATACACGACTCTTTAACTGTGGTAGCGTGAACTAAGCATTTCAAAATTTTGGCGATCTAGAATACGATATCGAAATGATAAATAATTGTAACAATTTCAGTTACTAGTTAAAGGCGAAGTAATGTTCGTACCAGAGTTAAATTTCGAGTGGTTTTCGGAGATATCGGTTCCGTAGTTATTCCATAAGCTAAAAGGAACAAAATGATTATATATAAATAAATTTTTGATAAAGAAGATTAAAATAGCAAACCTTTAGGAGTAACGACGGCAGGATTAACAAATCTTAAAAAGAAGAAGCTCCCAATTAACGATGTTATGATTTGAGGAGAGGCACTTGGAAAATTCTCCTATATAATAATTACTTTCAATGTAATAAGTGCTGACTACTATAAAAAATGTATTAAGGTATAATTTTATCAAAGATCAAACTTTATTATCTTACTTTAATGGAGTATTTTATAGATTTGCATAGCCACCTTATACCGTATGGTATTCTATCAATAGACGCTATTATACAGTTCATAAATCGCAGAGAAATATCTTCCAATTTTGATATATGTATACACGTTTAAGGAATATAATATACGACAATGAACAAGGTAAAAGCAAATCAGTTAAGCAATATGCTTCAATAATAATAACCAAAGATATTTTTTCGAGCACGAGACGCTACTTCCTCAGATGATAAAGCCTATCATGACAAAGTAAAATACATCAAATATTCCATTTTGTGCGCTCTTTCGGCACTAAATAATCAAAGGGAAAAATCATGTAAGCAATAGAATGCACACCTCTTCCGTTGAAACCAAGTTCTCTGCTATTTCCAGTGTTTTATAAATCTGATGATTAAATTTCGTACGATACACTTTTTAATTAACAAGCATTAAATTTCATACATAAAATGCAATCAAAAGTTAAAAAGTCAAACTTACCTTTAGAGGATCAATCTCTAAGTCCAAATCCGGATCTGAAATAACATCGTTCATAACTTGCGCGAGAGTACTTATTAGATAATCTTTGCCTAATTTTCGTCTGGAATGTTTATACACATATGCAAATTAGAATAGAACAAAACAGTTAGAGCACTGGTTAGGATCTATTACTCTTTTTGTGCCTGCACCTTATACACTTAACGGAATATTTGACGCCTTACTACAAATAATACAAAAATGGCTGCTTCTCCTTACTTTGTGTATGTTGTCATCATACGTGATAAGGCATTGTTTGCTCGTAACAGACTTCCCCATTCTTCAGCTTCTTCAAATTCCAATTTGAAAGCTTTCTGTAAGTTGTAAACCGGCATAAGCATAAGTAGGAGATTTAAAACTTTTTTATCCTGCATTACGTACATCAAAACAATACGATTTAACTATGTCGAAAATGTAAGCTTGTTTCTTTAATATTACCTCAAACACTAATAAGAGAAGATGCTCCTCTCTAGAGTTGTTTTGATTTCCGAATAATGTAAACATGACAAAGTGAAGTAAATCTACAAATATAAAATAAATTATAAGGTACAGGTTAATCAACCTATTAAATCCCGATCTGTAAAATATTTATCTAGTAGCTTGTACTGTACAACCGGCAAAAATCACCCAAAATTAGGCAGCTACTTACTGTCAATCTCCATTAGTGATACCAAGCGTGTTAGACAGGCAATATAAAATGGTGTAGTTTGCAGTAAATGAAGTAAGTTACTGAAATGCTATTAAAAAAATATTGATTTACATTCATTATAAGTTTAGATATCGATGAGTATTCCAGTAACTTACCCGTAAACTATTTAGCAATTGACAAATATAACTCTAAACTGCTATATACAAAATTTTGCTTTCAAGTACAATCATAACTACAGTATGGTACTAAAAAAGGAAGAAATACCAAAACAATGTAATGTACATAGTGATACAGTATGCATACGTATAAAGTAATATGTAAATGACAACTTTTTAAACACACTATGCATCTTAACTATGATTGTATAACACCTAGATCAAAGCATATGCTAAAATAATATTAATGGTAATGTAAACAACAACGCTATTGCACTGAGGGCGCCAAAGAATTATCGGAAATCCATTATCAGAATCCAATAATAAAATGAAGAGAAACAAATTATTCAATACTATTTACTAACCTTTTCTTTGATATCATTTATCAGAGGCCCTAAAACAGGAGCAATCGATCATTAAAACAATGGAATATCATATCAAATAAAACGTCAGAACACTACGTAAATGCACTAGCCCCCCTTCTATTGCTGTCGCGGTCTGTTAGTAATGAAGTTATTGATTAAATGAAAAACTCGTAAGAGGTTACCAGGTGTAACCGAGAAGATATATTCTTTGAAAACTACAGGGTTCTATTGCTAAAAGATATTGTAAAATGTTAGCAAATAATTTTACAGTATAAAGACAAAGAGTTTAATCAAAACAGCCATTTTTGGACCGCTATAGGTTAAAGTAAAGGAAGTCGAATAAAAATTCAGAGTAAAATTTCAAAGATTATTATTTAAAATTACATGACAAAAATGGGTCAGTTTACAGTAAATAGTAAAAAGTTTGAATATGTACATAACGTTCTATCTAAGACAAGAAATACAGTTCACATTTTAGCCAATACAGGATACAGTTTCTGATACTAATTAAAAAATAAGCATGCGATGTAAATTACGTTGAGTACGGTATCAGCTCTGGAAACACGTTTCTAAGTATACAAAGTGTCGAAATAGCATAGTAAATTAAAATACCTCCTTGTATCTGAATAATGTATTCATATTTTATGACGTACGACAAATCACTAGCACTATGTTTTTAGAAACGCATTATAATGTATTGTATCTTCAAGCAGGTATTCTTTCACAAGAAATAAAAATACGAGCTAGCTGGAGCCCTGCTTTGATCCAAATCGATCTCAATTACATTCAGATAATATGCAGTTCTAAAATATATAACTCGTATCACAATTGCGTATTTTTAGGCCAATAAAAAAATGTAAACTAGGGGTATAGGGGCATGTCTATTACGAAAATATATACATTACAATGAGTAGAACAACTAGCTGACCTATCTAGTTTTATGTGGTAGCCTCGACAATACAATTAACGCAATAGTAGGTCGATATATTAGTTCATTATTTGTACTGATCATAACCACAATTATCGACACCTACTGTATAACGTAAACGCTACAATGCTGTAGTACCAATTATGACTTCATTAAAAATTACAGTGCAACTATCAGCACATTCAACGTTTTTACCTAGATATCGTGGCTCTACTGCGTCAAGACGGTCCAATCGGTCGGCGGCATCCTGAGATGATGCATTATCAAAAATCCATAATAGTTACCAATAAAATAATTAATCACAACATTTGATGACAGAATTAAACAGCACCAATTCAGAATAAACACAGCTAGAATGATAATTACATTCTATATTTCTTATGCGGTGCGCTATCTCCTTGCGGTATTATTAATTACGTATACTGTACTGTACCATTGACGTAGTATTTACATTAATATGCTATAATTTATTCGATCTTAACACAAGTAGAAGTTCATATTTCTATTGACCTGTAATCCCTCACGATATGCAAGGAAGAGTTCTCATTTTAAGATTACTTTTTTAAATTTGATCATATAATGATATTATTTAATTAAATCTTAACTACAATAACAATTTCAATTTTTATAATAGTGTACTCGTATATCTATCTAATTATAAAGGAGTAAAATATTTAGTAAAATGTATGTACGCCCTTCATATGTCACTATGTCGTTTTCGAAGCAATATTGTACAGTACTGAGCAGTAAGTTACTTTAAAATGCACAATATCTTCACAAGAATTTAAAACACCGTATTTTACTTTAATGTACTACATTAAAATATTACGGATATAATTGCAATTGTAACCAATATGCTACAAAGTATAGTACGAGTATAAGCACGTAGGTGTTAATCATAGGCTAAGTCCAGTGTGGATCTAGTGTATCACTAATTCAGTAATGAATTACGATGAATTAATTATAGTCCACGGACAGTAGTCACAGTACTGTGCACGTCTGCAATAGTGTACTTGTAGTATCGCTTGTACAAAAAATTTAGAAAGTAACAATTACAATGGCCTCCTTGATCTCGTATCCGTGTCTATACAAGAATAAGATAAAAGTACTGTATATCGTTCCATAGACGGTACTATATTTTCCTTGTAGATATTGCCGGATTTTCGTAAAAGTGATTCAATTATTATACACTCTCGTTAAGTACGGTATCCTGCATTCAAGGTGTTATTAAATATTGAGCACGATAATATAATATTCTATGTTGATACATTAAGTTAACGTTATCATAAAAGCATCTTCTACCATTCAAATACATCATTTAATTAATTAATAATTCTTTTTAATAAGAATACAATGAATTATTTTTACTTTCGAGAATACAAAAAATTCTATACGACACCGGTAATATAATTAATAATGGATAAGGTAATCAGTGTTGTCGTATTTTAAACTAAGGATCTGTGCAAAAATTCATATCATTTATGCTTGGGATGAATTTCGATAGCGACATACGTATGCTAGAAGTCAACGATCTTTTGGTAATAATATTATAAACGGATGGAGTCTCGATCTAAAGTACTTGAAAGTGTGCATTACTATAAATGAAGGCTTGTAAGATTAAATAGATATAATGTCACTACGTTGAAAGAATATCGAATGGTATATACAGTAGATTAATATTCTCAACAATTGGCATTTCCGTCAATTTTAAGAATCCTATTCTGCTTGTAATATTATTGGCACAAGTTTCAGAAATAAGCCGTAAATAATTCTATTCTAGACATGTATGCGTACAGCGTTGTACGGTGTAATAATAATATCATAAATTATATGTGTAAGGTAATACAAAAATAGTTACCTTTAAGCAAAGATTATGCCTGACAAGTAAACCAATATAAGTATCGTAGTTGCTGATATGTTGCTTAAGGTGAAAATTGATTACACTTTGTTTAGAAATGTTATTCCGAATTTCTCGACGAGCTATATTAAACAAAGAATTCACATTACCTGATTAATTCATTTTATAAGAATATTCGTGTAAGAAGGACATTATTTATCTATAAAAGTTGATCCCGTACAGTATGTGGTATCGAATTTCAATCGAAGCAAGCGAAAATTTTTACGCATGGTAATTATTTAATTCAAATATTCTCATGTGTTATTACATTTTTGCGAAATAACGGTTAACAGGTTAATATTTTTAATATAAGATAATTTTAACTTTTATCTGTAGGAACAGAAATATATCGTAAATACTGGTACAGTTGCAAAAACTGATGAGAAAACATGCAAAATTCAATGTCATAGTATCGTACACGAATGTACCAGAGACTCCATTTTTGGAGTCCCTCGACGCGCGGTATCGTACTATACTTGAAATAGTTTCCCAACTTCGGGATCATATGATTCATGAGATGGGTCCCGCAATATCTGAAATCAAATTCTGTAGCAAGGCGCGTGCAAAATTGAATCAGTCTTGATATTAAAGTCTTAGCTGTAAACTGCTCACTGTGCTCAGTAAATAGTGAAATCCAAGCGGAAAGAAAACCTATCATATGCAGATACCGTGCAGTCACAGACTACTAAAAATTCAACCGGTAGAAATTTCCAGTAGACTGTATGTTGCATTAATGTAGTACGAATATTTTTCATGATTTTTCTAGACAATTAATAATTCGTAAATAATAATAAAATACGACAGACGTCTATCCTTAGGAATAAAATAAAGAAATATTCACGTAGGTTGCAAATTGTATAGGGAAATCGAAAAGCATTTCTATATTCAAAGTATTTGATTGTCCACTATCAATACTGCACAAAAAACTCTTGTTAAGCTTACTTATACTGTACGTATTAAACGATCAGCGTTTCATCACAGTAAATCATTGGCAAGCATAAAATGAGATAGTTAATAATTTAATACTGCGGCCGCGAGATTATAATTGTAATAGGTAACAAGGGTATTAAACATCGAACAGAACGGCGACACTTATGAACTAATAGCTTTTACAAGTACCTCTGTGTCAATTGTAGTGGGTTGATTATTTCCTAGATGATAACGTACTCGTATTCTAGGGTTATTAGACGGTAGTACTATATCCTAATTCGTGAAACTGTGCAATAAATGCCGCACTGTATAGCATCTGACCACGGAAATGTAAATAAAAACTCTTCCATTTTAAGAAATATGCGAGCATATTGTATATTAACCAGACTAATTTTGATATGTCGCAACCCTGACAGCTTTGCGACAATTACAATCTAAAACTTCATCTAACTTCCTTTGTCGTACTGTAGAAATAAAAAAAGGGGTACAAGTGCGTCAGCTTAATGTTCAATAGCAACAGTCTAAACACGCATTTATGACTACAGCGTATGTAAAAGTCTTTGTGACGCGAAGAATTTCTTACAATATTTAATAACAATATTGGGAAATAACAATCGATTATTAGACTGTAGGTTCTATTACTCTGGCTTGACGACAATGAAAATGATAATGACGGTAATTCATTAATTCACTTCTATCGACTAACTCAGAATTACAGTCGAAAGCCATGCTGTAAATAATAATAATCATAAAAGCATTATAATACTTTCATCTGCTGACCAAACTATGATGAAATTGAATGCTCATAATTTAAAAATTTATGGCTTGTACTGCTTGGACAAAATAAGGTGGACAAATAGTATGCTCGACAATACCCCATTAATCGCAATCACTTGTCTATAGGTATTTTAATTTAAATGATCAAAATATGACTTTATAGGTCTATTTCAGTTAAAATATACTTATATGTAGTGTAGTTCATTGGTTAAAAAAGCCTATTTGATGTAAGTTATTATTACCAATGAAGAAATGAATACTGCTTCTGCGTGAAAATAGTGTGGCCCATAATAGCGTTCTAAATATCATTGCAAAGCAGTGTCGAGGAGCAAGAAAATTGATAAATTTGGTCATTTGCAAATGTCGACGCCAGCTCAACAAACGCTGTGGCTTTATTCACGTCGACACCACTACGTGACAATTGTTAATAGCAATAAAAAAAATTTCACGTTTGACAACATATAATTACAGGTTATGTCATAAGGGCAAACCTTTAGCTAGCTTGACAACATCCTCTTCTAAACTGATGTTTTCTAGAGCTACATTATCGTTGTCATTTTGGTCCATCAACAATTTGATATTAGTGCCATCGGTAGTAAGCATGCCTGATGGTAGGGAAACAGGGATAGCGAAATCTTGCGTTTCCATGACCAGTTGACTCTTTCAAATTCCAATAATATCCAGTAGTGGTAGCAAAGCGCCTAAACTGACGTGGTTATGTGATTTTCAACATTATTATGATTAATTATAAAGGAAATCTGTGCGTGCAAGAAAGTCCCTTTTGGACATTGTTAGATAATAAAAATGTAAAAATCAGAGGAACGGCTTCAGAATGCGAAATTGGTAAACTGTACGTAGTAGTCCTATCAGCTAATACAGTAATTTATTCCAAGAAGTGAGTAGCCAATCAAATTTTCATTAATCTCATTCCTTGCTGAGACAAGATTCAATACAGTATTCCAACCATAATCGTAGTAATAATAAAGAAGGATCAAAGCCGATTGATACTTTATGAGGCTTGCACGAGTTATGGTAGTACATTATAATAAAATCAATTAATAATGCAAGATAGTGGAAATCTGTTTAATACTATTGTACAGTATATCAATCGTATGATATAATGGGAGGAATTGGCCCATTTTTGGTACTTACATTATTCGATTTTATTTGGGTTGATTAGCCGGCTGTCATGTTCTATCCAGATAAGAAGGTTAAGATCAGCAGCCAGGTGGAAGCCAAGACGCGTTTAGGTTAACCAACACAGGGAAAGGATTGGGGGGAGAGAAAAAAAAATTGGCCACTAAAAGCATCAAGCTTGTTGAACGGTCGGTCGGTCGATTACAGACAGTATTCGACCACTTTGGTGAACGCAGTGTCCAAAATGGAAAGCAATCGATACGCACACTTGGAGATAATCCTACTGCAATAAGTCTAAGTATATGCAATAATCCTATAGGATAGATGGATAAAATTGAAAACGTCTGAAAATGTCTTTCTGTATCTTCAATTTTATATCGTCAACACGGCTATCCAATGCAACGGAAGTCCAGAAAGCAATATGTCGCCTTTGCTTCTTAACACCTGAAATGAAAATGATATACAGTGGTTTTATTGAATTATTTTCTCATTCTTCAACGGAAGTTAACCGCAGTACTCGATGATAATAAGTAGGACTCAATAGTCATCGATAATTCCGTAACGGCTATACAACTACGATATTACTTGGCCATGTGGACTGCAAGCAATGGATTATTCTTGCTACTTCAAAGACGATCTACCATTCAAAGATGGCCATCAGTGAAAAATGTTCAATGATCGTCAGTGCTTAGTCTGTGGGAATAATAATAAATGCCAGTGGAAAGGTTGTGTCAAGGTTCTACTATAGCTGTGGTAGTGGTTGTCATTGAAGCATCCACACAGGTGAAGCGTCTACTTGATGACTGTCGCAGGGTGAGTCGTCTGCCGTATACTACAGTACACTTTTACAGTGTACACTTGCATTCCATAGTAAAGCGTAGGACAGTATCCTGTACAATGCACTGTACCCACCCATACGGTCTTCCATCGGGGGCGTACCACGGTGGATGAAGTGAGTCGGTCAAGTCAATGACGACTACAGTACAGTGTACTCTACCAAGATGACGTCAGTCGTGTCAGTGTACCGTACTGAACAAGACACGTCCAATCCAGTTGTAGTGTCACCCACTACTAGTGTGTGTATGAAAAGACGTCAACCATGCATGCACGATGATCTCGCATGTCGTCTGACGTCTGCCGGTTATCTTGGCCACAACGTTTGTCAATATTGACTGTAGTGCCAGCGGCCTTAGCGCCATGGTACTGTACAGTACTATCCACTCAGTGTACAGTACTGTCCACTCAGTGTACTGTACAGTATGGCTTTAACGTAGAGTAGTCGACCGCGCAAACTCACTGGTCGTCCTAGATTGACACTGGCTACTACGGTACTGGAAAGAGTCGATCACGACTATACTAATACTTATATGGTAACAACCTTCTTGAGCTTTATACCAGACTCTCTTCCTGATCGTATAGTGCTGTGTGTGTGTGTGACTAAAGAAGACACAGATCGAATTGGTGGTTGGTAGAAACGTCGAAAAGGTATTAATCTCCATTTTTTTTTTTTTCCACGTCCTATCGCTTACCTTGTGACTTTTGAATCCTCCACGATCTACTCTGATTGCATCGGGGTAGAAATCTTTGCATATTGGCAACGTCATTTATAATTGCCTTGGATCGATCTCTCTCCCTCTCTCTCTGTACTCGATATCATTGCAAATAGTGACCCATGGCGACACATCGCCGCAGCCGTAGCCCTGGTGATCGTGACCGGTACGATCGTAATGATAATGATGGTCGTTCTAGAAAACATGGCTTAGACGATATGTTTCTACAAACAAGAAGAGAAGAAAGATGCAGAATTAGTGAAATGGGAGTCACTGGAGTCTGGGGAAATTCTCCTAAAGAACCAATAAACAAGTAAAGAGAGAGATAGCCGATTGATTTTACATGCGTATTCTAAATTGACTAGTACAACAATGTTTGCAGTTTGTTTTCTACCTTCTTATGCAGTACTGTAGATATGCCTAGTCGTTTTGTCTACCTTCGATAAAGTGCTTGCGTCAAGTTGAAACCATCATAAAGTGGTTGTGTCCTACTATAATTTACGCCTGTGTACAATCAATAAGTCAAATAATAAACGAGATTAAGAAATATCCTCTATATTTTATGTTCAAATAGTTCAGAAGATGAAGATGACGAGATGCAAGCTGCCAAGACAAACGAATCTTTTACTAATGGCAAGAGAAAAAATCACAAGGGTCACCATAAATCCAAAAAGAAATCTAAAAAGCATAAGAAAAGGTAGAATCGAGCAAATCATACCATGACTACCCTAATTTTAAACCGAAAAAATGATTTGTTAAATTATGGCAGTTCTAATTGATTTTGCAATGAAAGAAGTGGATAATCAATGCACTTGATATGGCAGTAATCTAAATTTAAAAATCTTCTAGTACATCATGATCACTGTTGTTGTCACTATCCAACCTCTCATTGTAATTAAAAAACTTGGGATAAGTTGAACTAGACATATCATTTTAACCAGCTGTTAAGGCGATAAATTGCTAGTATACTGTAGTATAATGCGACCTAACCATGCTACACGATACTCATCAATGGACTTTATTTCTAAAATAATCAAAGTAGAGAAAGGCGTAAGAAACATTCTGGTAGTGATGCGACTGAACCTGATGGTAGCCCTAGCGATGGAGAAAGTGATGAAGAATTATGGATCGAGAAAGACAGTGAGTACATTTTACCTTGATATCTTCAAAATGTTGTCTCTTTTAGCCAACACTCTTCCCCTTTATCCAATATCATTTGAAATTAACGTTGTTATTTATAATTATGGTTATAATTGCTGCCATCAAATCTGTGATAACAAAATGTATCTTATAATATTAGATACTGACAGTAAGAACGCTTTCATTGGGCCAACACCGTTGGTTCAAGTTGCACCGAGTTCGGGCCCTGTCAATTATGGTGGCGCTTTGTTACCCGGAGAAGGTGAAGCTATGGCACAATTTGTTGCTGCCGGTAAGCGTATCCCACGTCGTGGTGAAATTGGATTAACTAGTAACGAAATTGCAAACTATGAAACTTCTGGCTATGTGATGAGTGGTAGCCGTCATAGGAGAATGGAAGCTGTTCGTTTACGTAAAGAAAACCAAATTTATAGTGCTGATGAAAAGTGAGTACTGAAAGACAATGACTACATCAACCCAATCTTTAGTGCGACATTCTGACTACATTTTCAATATGGAACTCTGCATTAGTAAACTAAACTGACCTTTCATTCTATAGTAGTACAGCATTAGCTCAATTCATAGCAATAACGTCAATCTTTTATAGAACAAATTTATTAAGTAATGATGGATAAAAATACTTATAAATATGCTTTAAATTACCTTAGAATGGCATTGGCTTCTTTTAATTACGAAGAACGTTCTAAGCGAGAGAACGATATACTGAAAGGTTTCAGGCAGTTAGTCCATGCTAAGAGCAAAAGCAAGTAAATGCTGCAATGACATCCAACTTTCCTTCAGCGATCTTCAATTGGTAATAACCCTCAGTCATGAACCGCGTAACTGAAGATCTTTATCAAACATAACAATGATGAAAGTCTTAAGTATCTTTTAGAGAGTAAAAGTAATATGCTACGGATTACGTGATATTATTGTCTTCTCTTACTTATAAAACATGCTCATTGAGTATCATCATGTTAATGATAATGTGATATAAGATTTGTTATCGTTATTGACAATGCTAAATACTGCAAAACATGTTTGTTACGTAAAACTTATATTAGACTGATCTCTCTTTAGTATGGCAATCACTGCCTTTTATCATATTACCATAACTTATTACGTTTATTTCCCATGTCACTCGGTAATATGTATATATATACTAATACAACGAATTAAAGCGTCAGTATTACAAAATAGCATACAGAAAACCACTACCGTACTGATGTAGTAATGAATAAGCTCATATAAAAACGCACCTTGCTATTATACGTACTGCAAAGTCTTGATTATTGTTCATAAATACGTGACTTTACAGCCTTATCCTGTTTCGTCATTTTGATATAGCTACGGCTATATCAGATTGACAAACAATTTCCTATCAATTTATCTCAATTTTTGATGTACTGTGTAGCAATGTATTACTTAACGTTCCCAATGCATAAAATACTATCATGTTATTTTGCTACATTAAACTCTTATATCATCGGATTATTATTAATTAATTGTTTCATATTTCCATCAAATTTTTAAGGAATTTTTATATATGTGTGATATAAGCTAAAATTATTGACAACATTTTACTCCTTGTAACAGACAATAGTCTTATTTTCTCTTTATGGTTAATATTGGTATATCGCAAGTATACTGTAAGAAGAATGCAAGATTAAATTATACATATACGAGTACATCGTACCCTTATTCTCGTATCAGGAAGGAAAACGTTTTTATTAATTCTGTAATATATAGATGTTCCTATTATGTAGGCTCCTTAGCATGGGTGTCATTACACACGACGAGGTAGGATAGCATAGCAAGGATACTGCATACAACTGCTTGAGTAATATGCTAAAATAGTTTCCCGTAGCAAATCCTGGTCATAACAGAGTCCGCAGTAATTAACTACAAATCATATGCGGACTGAGCAATGAAATTCAAGATATATGAAATAAAATACGATATAACACTGTGTATAATAGCTGTTGGTAATAACACATCACTAAGGATAAATACAAGAAATCTTTTCTTGACCAGGCCAGGTGTTGAGTAAAATAATATAATAATAGATACTGTAGTTAAATCGAACTGGAAAGGAAAAAAATTTAAAGCAGTTTATAAAAACAAAAACTCATATTTGCATCGCAGTATTGCAAATCAGTACAACGGAATTTACAATACTCTACCGAGTCATGCAGCTTGCGTCAAAGATTGACAACGAATTCTTAATAGGAGAAGAAATCTTCCTTAATTGGATTATCAAGTTAAAATTGCAAAAAAATGCATCGTATGCACTACGTAAATTGAATGGAGGGAATTGTAACATATACAACATATTATATGACTGTACAGTTTGATAAATCCGATCAATAAAATGGAACAGAATAAAAACAGCCAGGTCAGCCAACTGAATCTGGTAATAGAGTCATCTCTATTTAGCCATGATCTTATTTGAATCATTAATAATAGCTAAAGTTTTATCACCAACACGATATTGTAGCCAAACTTTCATACTAAGAATAAGTATAATATTAAAATTTCAAAAAGTTCGTCGAATTTACTAATAAATGGCTAGCATATTTATAAGACAGCATATTACAATATTGGCAGTAAGATGAAAAAAAAAGAGAAAACGAGATCGAAGAGTATTGCACACTCAGTATTTCGTTAACAACGCATAATATTTTCTAATCTATTGGGATATCATCAATATTGATACTAATGCTCGATGTACACACACATATATGCTTTTAACATAAAGAATAGCCGTAAGGATAGCTATCACGTTGATAGGTATTAAAAAATCCTGAATTGATTGCTGACTGCATCATGGGATTGAAGGCGAAAGGAGTACTTGCTGAACTGCCGCTAAAAGCTGTCGGATGTCCATATTGCATCAAATTCCGTTTGCCAAATGATGGTACATTGTAATGATAATAACTAGAACTATTACTACCGTTTGTATGGCTGACTTGCTGTTGTTTCGGCCAAACGAAATAATTATTATATGCCTCTAAACTCATTGTTGGATGATGTCGAACTCGTATTGGATCCGCAAAAGATGGCGAATCGTTGTTGTGGTTATAAATACTGCTAGCAGTACTCTCTAGTGTGCTACTGGAACGTGTTGGACCTGTCGATTTCTGTCGCTTTCTCCACTTTGCACGCCGATTTTGAAACCATACCTATAAAGTGAAATGTATCATTAAATACGATTGCCTTTGTAAGGTAATAACTTTAAATTAACAAATATAGAACAGGATCACTATCAAGTGATTGACCATTACTATGTGCCGCTAGTATAAATAATAACTATAATCAATATTGTCTAAACATGATTAGAAAGTTTTATAAAATTTACGTCAACATCATAATTCTAAAATAGACTAATATTATTGCGAATTTTTGAATTTAAATCTCGAATCCATAAAATGATTTACAATCTTGTTTATTGGGAAAGCCTTATTTACAGCATCTATGTCTCTCGATTATAACTATTAGATAACTTAAGCTAATCCGAGACATAATGCTATACAGTAAGTTAATTACATGTAAGTAGATTACAATAATTAATTATCAGAACAGGAGAAGCAACCGACGTCAATAGCTGTAACTAAAAATTAATATGCTCCACTATCACTAACTACTAAAGCGAGTGCTTCATACCGTAAAAACATTGTTAGGCAAATAGCTGAATCATTAGTATGAATAACGATCTATAAATCGCTTATTTGAATACTTCTGTAAACTTGTATTTTTTAGAAACTTGCTAACATTACTACTTGAGAAATTCTTCTACGTAGCACAAATGGAGTGTTTGTAGGCTTCTCATGCAGAATAACTATTATCAGCGTTATTACTAATCAATTCTATTCAAAATTTTAAATTTTGTAATCTCCAATAATCAAAGTAATTTCTTGGTCTATCCCTCAATTAAGGAAATAAATAACACATAGTTAATTAGGCAAGATTCCCCAAACTAATAGCTAATTACTACATCATAATTACAGGCTGTATCTTACAAATTGATCTCCGATGAATTTAGGGAAAAAGGAGAAGACATTGTTAGAACTACCATGCAATACATTCATTTATACATCGAAGAAATATTCAGCTCTATACTGCAGACTGACAAGAATAACTAATTATATTATTGTATAATAATCTTGACTTAGAACATTGAACGAAATATAGATAATCACGAAATGAAGTCCAACTGAACAATAAACGAATTCTGGCAATTATGATAGTGAAATTTTTCGTGCTTTAGAAATAAGAACGGCGAAAAAGAGTAATGATTAATCATTGACTAAAAATAATTTATTCATTTAGTAGTCCTATCCAGTATATTTTGCTATCAATGCTGTACTAAAATACACAGCTTGCTTATCCAATTATCCGATGTGAAAATTATCAAATAAACAACTCTTTGTGCATACGCGTAACATAAATCGATATCGATGATGTTTCCATTGGAATTTTACTCATACGTATAGGCAAATCAATTTTGGTCTGTATTAATATTGAATTAGTGTTCTTTGTCAAAGCATCGGATAATGAATATACAGTGTCGTGATATGGAATCAACGGTAGCAACTAAATTCACGATTGGTAGCAATGTATTACGACTTAAGGAAAGATTTTGAATATAGGTGTATACTATTTTTCCCTTATCAATCGATATACGGGTAGTAAGAAGTTTTATTATTAAGTCAACCTACAGATTTTACCTGCATTTCTATTATTGCGCGTTTAGGTATTAATATAGGCTAATAATAAGAAAATTGGAACAGTAGTGGTACGTTAAATATTTAGAAGTTGCTGACTAGAGCACAATGCTATCTGATCACCCTGAAATACGTGTACTGCAATCAGATCGATATTGAATGATTTTACATGGGTCAACACTTTACCAATTAAGTGTTTAGACTATTGATAACTGATTATTGTAAACGTTCTCAGATTTTATAAAATTGTACAGTAGTTCGCGTCGAATGACGAATCACTGGTTACGATCATAGAATTTGTAAGTCTATGCGTATGCTTTATTCTATTTCTACTTGAAGATTTTCATTTCATTTTGAAGTTATAAACCCGAAGTATTACTAATATTTTAAATTGAGGCTTTTCCGTTAGGTATTGCTTATTGCCCGGTACTGATTTACAGTAATTTAACCGAAGTTAATAAATCGTTAAATGTAAATATTCTAGTATACAGCATACAAAACTTTCAAATTCAATACTTGAGTACACCATAAAAATAGTTTGTGATAATTGTTTTTTGGTTTCAAATTAGTGCAGTCAGTTATTTTCTTGTTATTGCTTCAAAGCAATAACGACTATATTTTAATACTGTATAATCAGCAAATACTATCAACGATATCAACCTTGATATTTACGAATCTATTTATAAGTGTTTTTGTAAAAAAACAATTTAATATTTTTAATCCATACTAATCTCTATTCAAATTAATGGCTGACAGGCAATAAAGAAATAATTACCATACTGATTAACGGGTTATTAACAGAGATTATTTATTTTACTTGCTAACCTGTACTTTTGCTTCAGTCAAATCAACTCGACTAGCAATTTCTTCTCGAGTAAATACATCCGGATAATGAGTAATTGCAAAAGCTTTCTCTAGTTCTTCTAACTGTCCATTAGTAAATGTAGTACGAAATCGTTTCTGCTTTTGCTTTTCAGAATCGGAATCTTCTCTTTCTAGGCGTTTCCTATTATTAATGGAAGCTGTGTCGTGTAATCTACTCAGGATAGATTCGTTATCGTAGGAAGATTCTACCATAGTTGTTCGATCTAATAGATGAAAGCAAACAGATCCAGACATAAATGATTACAGTAAAAAATTATTCAATTTAATCGCAGGATTATAATTATTAATTATGATTTAAGTACAAAGCAACCTGAAAATTACTATAATTTAATACGTGCAGTCCCTATGACTAAAATTGCATTCCTAACTTCTCAGGAAAATCTTTTATCAAATGAATTTAATTATGCTAACCAGATTGAATCTTTCTGTAGGGGAAAAAGTTACCGTATCGTGCTATATTGCAGGTAAGGGGCTGATCAGAAAAGTTTCAGAGGATGACTAACTATCATAATTACTAAGAGAAATTAAGTGTCAATCGCTTATATATGAGAGGAGCTATAAGGATAGAATTAACCGGCATAATTCCTAATTAAAAACCTTGAATCTCCCTAATTGCCACGATATTATCTAACGTCAATTGAGATAACATCGTTCGTTTAATTGTTTTCAAATTTACACAACAACGTCAATTAACACAAATTTAGAAACTGTTGTAATCCAAATAAATTAACAATTTATGCTTGAATAAAATCGACTATTGTCTTATTTGTCAATGGATTTATATTAAAACTGTTCAATCTCTTTTTTTTCTTCCGTAGCTGTAAGTACGTCAATTCGGTTATTATTCTTCTTATTATTGTTGTTATTATCTTTTACCCAATAATATTAATAGACAATAGAGAACATAAAGTAAAACCATTTAAACGATAGGTAATATCATCCTAAAGTAATGAAAATTGGCTATTAATATGTCAAATAATGGATTATTTTTATCTATATAGATGATGAAAACAACTGTAAGCAGATTAATGTCGATTAGATAAACTATTAATCAATCTTGTTTTCATAGTCAATCATAAATTAAAAGGAAAAACAACATGCCGTCGATATGCCAATTCCTTCAATTTTCTATCAATGTCTGTATTCTATCGTTACCCTAAATAAGCAAATAGGCTATTTGCTAATTTTTGTGTAAAGAGAATTTACTGTAGTTTTTTTAAGAGTGTTTACCGAATGTATCATGAATGTTGTACAGTAGAGTAGTAAAATTAGGTTGATGATCATTTTTACAGTTACTATTTAATCTAAACAATCTATATTCAATCTACCGTGGCATTCAGCTAATATCACAGATTAAACTATTCAGATGAAACAAAATTAAAATAGATGATAATGAATCAATAAGCAATAATTAAAATAATATAATTAAATTGCTATCGTTAAGTTACGTTGCGAAACTTGGGATGTAGTTGTTAGCGATCGAAATATACCGGGTTGATACAGTATTTAAAAAACTGCATCTCCATCTTAGATCTACTTGTATACAATATTCATATGGTTACTTATACGGTAGTTTGCCCATGATTACCAGAAAAAAAGGTACACGATATAGGGGGCTTGATCGAAAATATTACTCTTGAGGGAGTTTTACCTGAGTGCAGTATCGGTCTAATACAATTTGTAGAATATATAGTTAAAAACGAAAGGTTGATTGTCGTCTCCACAACTTCAGGAAATATCTGAGCGATTTAGGTGGAAATCTTTTCTTACTAAATAGACTACGGTATCCTCTATCATCATGCACCAACAGATATAGTCATTAATTTTTAAAATGACACAATGAATAGAAAGCGTAAACTGCGCGAAAACTCGGTCATTTAGAAAAAGTATGTCATTATTTTATTTAATCGAAGTTAAAATTGACTGTGTGTATTGGTTATTAATGTTCTGTTATACGTATAACTTTGCTATGGCAGTTTTCATTTTAGATCATGGTATACGTACGATAATTCGGCCGTGACATTACCCGTACATTTTACTGTAAAATTGATTTTTAACCCTGCTGACTTCTAGACGTGATCAAAATGAGAAAAACTGGACTTGAAAATAAGTGAATAGCATACTTCAAGTAAATGGGTTGATTTATCTCACCTATTTTACTATTCCGATATGATTATTTTTAGATGAGCTCTTTTACACTAATGATTTGAATGATTTTCAGATCTTATACAGTACGTATCATCTATACAACTAGCTTAGGCCGTCGTTCTATTCATTAATTAAAATAAGTCGTTGTAAGATAATTCCATCATCGAACATTTCAAAACAGTTTACGCTGAAATTAGGTTGAACTAGTCGGCCGTGACTATAGCAAAAACCGTGTCACGGCAAAAAAAAAGGAAGAGAACAACTGAATGACTGTACCCCTACCTGAGTAAAGAATTAGAAAAGGATTCATAAAGTAGTGTATAAAACGATGACAAAACGAACAATTAAGGTAATTACACTACTACAATATTAATTAATTGACTACGCGTTACTAAGTAGCTTATTAAAAATAATATATGATTATGCAAATGAAATTCTACTAAACGATCAGGGTAAAAGATAGTCCGTATACCCTTTTGCCAATATTATCTGACCACGATTCACATAAAAAATGACCTTTTGATTAATGTGCTGTTGTTTTAACTGCGGTCCAGACAGTCAAGAAATCTAAGCTGAAGTCTTCTTTTTTATCCATTTTTTCTGTTGTTGTCGTTGAATGTAAGCTTACACTAATATCTTATCCTAATACTGTCTGACTATTGTAACTATGTTAAGTGGTTGGTGTATTGTGTAAACTAACGGCGGCGGGTGTTGGTCCAATCGAGCGATGACTTTGTCGGAGAGAATTTTAATATTCTTGCATAATATTAAAACTGGCCAATGTTGGCGTAAGCAACACTGACTAGGCGTTGAGTCAATAATTAGCTATGGTGTTTAATATTTATGTCTACATTGGTCACAAGCACTACGTAATACAGAGTGAATGCAAGGTGGATGAAAAGAAGTTTAAAAAAAACGATTCATGATTTTATCTCTCTTTCTTTCTTGACGACGCTACAGTGTAAAAGTATCGTTTTTATCTACTATTTGTTTATTCTTGAGCCATTGCTATTTTAACTAGATGATGTCTCATGGAATCTTTCTCTACCAGTATCTACCGTAGAATAGGGTATATAAATGATTGCGCTACCGTATCCATTTTACGGAGTTAAATTGAAGTAACTCTTTCTTTAAAAAAAACAAGACAGTTTATTTTTTTTTCTTCAACTCAAAAATTACATTTATTTTTTCAATACAAATTTCCTACGGATTAATCTAATTCGATCAGAGAAAATCAATCTATTTGATCGCTATGAACGGGTATTTGAGCTCTTGCACAGACAAAAAAAAGTACCCTCCCTATTCCAAATCTAGCGTGGCTAGTGAACTGTTCCTGCCGGTAGAAATGGATTAAATCTACCATGATTGCAATCAATGCAATCAATTAATTTGTATTCATTTCGTGAAAGGAAAGGATGCATTTAAAATGATGGGGTCTATTGACGAGGGGGATCCTGCTGTGGTACTGAAGTCTTCATTGAATTCGCTTGGATGGCGATGTAATCGATACAAATTGAACTGATGGTGAAGGAAAAATGCTATCGTCTCATTGTAGACGACCTTAACCCTTAACTTTTATCCATACTACCGCAGAATAGAACGCCATGCGAGTCTGCCAACAGTAAAAAACTTTCATTAGCTGCAATCGCTATCTAGTCCCTATATCCTCTTTTCTTGGACGGTTCATAATTGTACTCATAACGCAAAGTAGAGCATTGTTGGAGGCTGTCTGCCATGGCAATTTCAATTTCCCCCCCCCCCCCGTGAAACGTATCAAATGAAGATAAATTGAACGGATACTGAACAAGAAATGATATCATCTTCTCCTAGATGCTAGAATCCATTGACTTTAATCTATCTTGCCCGACTATAAATTGCAATCGTCTCCGATTGCTATCGAGTCGATTGGCCATTCTGGTCAAATTACTATCGGCCTAGCATCGACGATTGCGAAAGAAATGATATCATCTTCTCTTAGATGCTAGAATCCATTGACTTTAATCTATCTTGCCCGACTACAAATTGCAATCGAGCCGATTGGCCATTCTCGTCAAATTACTATCAGCCTAACATCGACGATTGCGTCCATGTTAGGCTTTGATTGTTAAGACCGTCGAGCGGGCTGCTGTCTGGCCATTGCCATGGTCCCATGTTCCGGACCATCAAGTGAGTGAAATATGCGTGAAGGGAAATAATGCTGTAGGAAAATAACAACAACAGGCATCAAAGGGAAGGAGACTGTATGACTGTCATCTGATTGAATCGCGTGAAAGTCAACCATCGTCATTCTACACTTGTTACTGTGATGTCACAGATGTCACACGCCTTGACTGTATTGTAGTCTGACTACTCTTCCTCAATCTCTTTGTGGTGAGTAAAGCGCGTCCAAATGCCGGCTAGCAAAATGGTCGAGGATAGTAAGTAGGAATGATTCTGAGGAAGTTATTGCCTACCAACGGAAATCATGTCGATGTGTTAATATGAATGGAAGTTCAAAATTTCCAAGTTGTAGTATGACTTTGAAATAATTGCCTTTAAGAATGAATGGCTGGCTGCCCCTAACGTATCCATCTCATGATCAAGAAAGCAAATCCAACCTTATTACGTTCTACGTATTTTATCACCTAACAACATATCAGACTAATTTCATTCTTTCTTAGGGATATTTTCAATTTATAATGTCTTCCCCCCCCCCCCCCCACTCAGCCAATTTTCACCCCCATTCATTTCAAAAGGGTCAAAAGGAAAACTTCACTAGCAACGGAAAGAAAAGAATGGACAAAACCATGCATAACTTTACAAGTATGATAGGATATCTTGGGCAATAACAAATTCAAATAGATCCATGTAGGATAGGAATGTTGTACGCTCTTAATCCTCTTCCAATACTGTATTACTATCCAACATGTGACTAGGGCTATTTTGGAAAG